AAAGCTTTGACTTAAGACAATAATTATTATCATAAATGGTCATTTTATAGCTGTAATTTTAGTTAGTGTGTAGTTTTTGTAGGTGTTATGTAGAAAATAAAATTTAAACATTATATATAAAAAAGAAAGGGCCACAAGAACTACGCACTGAAGCAACCCTTCCTGCCCTCCCTCTCATGATCTACCTAAGTTCACAGAATCAGTATTGTTGTGAGGTGGCCATCTAGCCTCTCTTTGAAAACCTCCAAAGGAGGAGAGCCCACCACCTCCTGAGGAAGCCTGTTCCACTGAGGCTCTAACTGTCAGGAAGTTCTTCTTAAAGTTTAGCTGAAAACTCTTCTAATTTAATCTCAACTCATTGGTTCCAGTCTGACCTTCTGGGGCAACAGGAAACAACTCTTCACCATCCTATCTATGACAGCCCTTCAAGTAATTGAAGACAGTTATCATATCACCTCTCAGTCGTCTCCTCTCCAGGCTAAACATACCCAGCTCCTTCAACCTTTCCTCATAGGACTTGGTGTCCACACCCCTAACCATCTTCATTGCCTTCCTCTGGACACATTCCAGCTTGTCTATATTCTTCTTAAATTGTGGTGTATGGTCTACTAAGACCCTCTAGATCCTTTTTGCACATACTGCTGCCAAGACTAGTATGCATCTGATTTTTCCTACCTAAATGCAGAACTTTACATTTATCCCTATTGAAATCCATTTTATTTGTTTTAGCCCAGTTTTCCAGCCTGTCAAGATCATCCTGTATCCTGACTCTGTCTTCAACCATATTTGCTACCCCTCCCAATTTAGTATCATCTGCAAATGTAATAAGCGTGCCCTCTATTCCTTCATCCAAATCATTGATAAAGATGTTGAACAAAACAGATCCTAGGAAAGGTCCCTGAGGCACTCCACTTGTCACTCCTCTCCAAGAGGGTGTGAGGAACCATTAACAAGCACTCTTTGGGTGTGATCTGTCAACCAGTTACAGATCCACAGTAATAGGATCCAAACCACATTTTACCAATTTGTCAACAAGAATACTATGTGGAACCTTATCAAAAGCCTTACAAGTAAAACAGGCTTGGTCTTCCAATGATGTGGTCAGTTGGACATCTACAAGGTTAGCCTGTGACTATGGTGGATCATGTTTTATTGCTTTCCTAAGCTGAGATACCAATGTTATCCCTGATGTGCTAGCTCTGTATTTCAGGGACACTCGTTAACATAGGTAAGCATCCAGCAGTCATATTCCCTTTCTTTATTCTGAAATGACACAATTCATTTTATCACATCAGTCCCACCTCATCTTTTGCATGTGTAGATGTGGCCCCAACCCCCGCATTTTCTGAATATATAGGGATTAGGGAGGCATGAGACCACTTTCAGGATTCTTGAGAGGAGAGATCCTTGTTCTGTCCTGTTCTGTGCTGTGCCTATTATCCTGCAGATGTTCCCTCCCCCCCCCCCCCACACACACACACACTTTTTCCTCCCACAAGTCTCGCTTCTGGCTTTGGGGCCTGGCTGGTGATGGTGGGGAGTTAAACACTTAACATGATGGCATACACAAACAGCCCTTATAGTTGTGCAAAATAACCATAATTAGTTAACTAACTTGTGTCATTTTTTAGGACAACATCTAGATGTAGACTGTCTAGTAAAATGTATCCATGGCTCTCCTGTGCCTTCCAGTAATTTATACAGCGAGAGAGTTTACTTTCTCACCCTCTTTCTAATGTATGATACAGTAACTCTGCAATAATTTACTTAGGACAATGAAAGAAAAATTCCTTCCTGCTGCCAGTTTTGAGTTTGAGGTGCCCATAGTGTTCTTGGCAGCAGCTAGGAATGTTTCCTTCATTGTCTTACCTAAATTATACTGCTGGCTTATTTCCCTGTTTGCTCCAGTCTGAATAGAAGCCCACAGTCTATGGTCCTGTACTGTTCCCTCCATGCTGTTCTATCACATAAAAAGAAAAGAACTGGGACAGAATTTCCCAGAGGCGTGTGCACTAATAATCTCAAATTAATTTGTGAGATGTACAAATGAAGTTAAATAAAGGTGGGTGGAGGTCAGCTCCTGTACTTCGAATTGTGGGTCTGTCACGTATGCATGTCAGAACTGTCTAACTTGCTAAAAGAAAAAGTGTGCGTGCACACGAAAGCTCTTACCTTGAATAAAACTTTGTTGATCTTAAAGGTGTCACTGGACTCTAAATTTGTTCTACTGCTTCAGACCAGCACGCCTGACCACCTGGATCTATCTTGCTGACAGAAAGGGAGGCATTGCTGCAGAATCTATACATTCTGTGTTCCGTATGCATTTTTTGCCTTTCTTGCAAACTGGTTAGAGGCTGTCTTGTCCATTAGCTGAATGGGAAAGTTTTTTAAAAGCAGAATAAAACCACATTCATTTGGAATGTGTAACTTTTTATAACCCAGGAGTAAACTCTTGACTGTGCTCTCCCCCCCCCCAGTTCTATAACATGCACAAGCAATGCTTGGCCTTAGCACGACTGGGTCCAGTGTTCCCTCTAAGCTCCTCAGTGTTGTGAGCAGAAATCCTACCTTGTCAGCGAAAAAAAGCTAGTAGCATTAAAGTTGTGAGTGAGTCAACATTTGACTATTGCGTAAATTAGATTTTTAGAAGATTACTTCCATAACCTTGTAAAAATTTCAGAACAAATCTTTTAAATTATATTTAAGCTATATTTTAAGAACAATTTAAACATTATAAGAGGAAAACAGAATCAAGTCAAATTTCACCCACCCCTTTCCACTATATTGGTAGACCTGTCCTCTGGAGAACAGGTCTACCCACCCCAGTCCACTATAGTGGTAGACCTGGCCTCTAGAGAATAGGTCTACCCACCCCTTTCCACTATATTGGTAGACCTGACCTCTGGACAACAGGCCTACCTGCCCCAATCCACTATATTGGTAGACAACTGTCATCTTGTGCTAAGCCTTAGAAAACATACCAGCACTTTAGGGGGATCTCATGCAGTCTTCCTTTGGTTTTTTTTTAGTGAGATATGATAACCAGCATTACAGGTCAAGTATAATAAAGGAGAAACAATCACTGTCAGAACTCTACCTAACCTAACAAACAGAAAGTTGCTTAAATGTTATCAACCTGCCCAAACAACTTATTTATTCAAATAGTTATATCCCACTTTTTCCTGTGTCTCAAGGCAACTCACAAATCATACTGAAAAGCATAATAGGGGTGTGCAAAAAATATATCATTTTTTGCTCCATTGTATCCTATGGGGGCCATTATATTCAATAGGCTCCATAGGCTATAATAGAGAATTGATCTGGGGATATCTGGGGCTTGGGGGGCTGTTTTTTTGAAGCAGAGACGCTAAATTTGCAGCATAGCTGCTGGTGCTTCTCCTCAAACTCCCCCGCCCAGTTTCAAAAAGACCGGGCCAGGGATCCAATTCTATGGGCCCCAGAAGGAGGTGCCCCCATCCATCATTGTTTCCAATGGAGGGGGGAAATGCCTTGTGAGCTGAAGCAGAAATCCCTGAGCTGCCTGTTAAACTTTTGTGTACCAGTACCTCCTAGCACAGCTTAGAGGGAACTATGCTTGGGTACCTAATGGCAGTTTAAAGATTGTTGCATGAATCATTCATTAAGTTAACCCCCATTTTAAAGAATGAGACATCAGAGAAAGGAGTGTGGCTAGACTTATTTTATAAAATCTGCATGTACAGTAATTCTTTTCTAACAGGTTTTTACAATTAAAAAGTTCTGTCCTCGGGTTTCTATGCTGCAAGCACACCCTGTTGGGCACCCTGTCTTTCTTGCATGTGTGGCCTTTTCCATTTACTTCCTTAGAGCCCTTGTATCTCTGTGTACCCTCCTTTTCATGCTCAGACCTGTTTTTTTCCATTGCGGGTAAGGGGAAGTCCTTCATATGGATGCTTAAAGAGGATTGGACATGTATACAAGACTTTGGGTTTAAGTTCAAGTTTTTGGTTACGTCATTGGTGAAACAACCTCTAGTAGAACCAGTGTCAGAACCTTCCTGTGTTTCAGTATGGTCTGCATTCTCAAAGACATGTGGGGGTATTGGATACTCTATCAAAAGTTTAAAAGACAGCATTAATTGTTAACTGTTCTGCTACACACTTCCATGCATATCATGACTGCATTTGAATATCAGGGTCAAATGGAATGTGAGAATGAACACTACTGGCCGTTCTGCTTAGATGCCTCGTTCCTTTCAGTTTTTTCGTCTTGTATGCAGAGCTTGATTGAAGGCTGCTGGTTTGGGAAGCCTTGAAACAGGCTCCAGTTTGCTGTGATGTCTTAATGCAGGCACTTGGATAAATAAGACCTCCCCCCTCCCTGATTCTGAATCTTAGTTAGGGGGGGCAACCTATTCATTTGAATATTTTTGCAAACTTGATCTTTATTAATTTGTGCTGTGTGAATGAAGGGACGAAAGAGAACGGTGGAGCTGTGTTCATGACCTGTCATGGACAAATCTCTGTTTGTCCATGATGTTTGAATACAGCCCAGGAATTCCTTTAAACAACTGGCTGAATGTCGCATTGATACTGTACAAGAAAGAGAACAGCATATTCCCATGGAATTAACTGTTGAATGTTTGATATGGATATGAATTTCTGTGATTGATAATTTGTATTGTTATTGCTGTGTTCTAGACACCAAATTAAAACTAAAACATTCCTTTTAAAGCTATTGAAGTCCAAAAGCAAACTTTCATATTAAACATTTAAAATATATTATTACCATCTAACTTATTGTAACCCTTAACTGCCCTAACTAATGACATTTAGGTTATTACCAGTGCAATCCTGTGCAGAGTTACTCCAACCATTGATTTTAAGGGAGTCACTGAGAACTGGAGTAGCTCTGCATAGGATTGCACTGTAGGTCAGATAAACAGCATTAGTAATGAAAGGCATGAGTATAAAACACCAGAAATGCATTTTCTTACTTTGAGTTTTCTTTTCACATTACAGGCATGTAGCCATCGCTCCAATTCTGAGATAATTTGCTGCACAACTCCTTCACTAAAACCCTATAACCTGACACTGCCTTTTGTGACAAAAGTGTTTTTCATTTTTGATGGTGTCAACTCATCACGTTTTAATTTTGATTATGTGAATGACCCCAGCTTTACATTTTCTGAAATACCAGTGGTGATTTCCAAAGGAAACCAGAATATAGTGATTAAGGTAAGCTGATGAGCAGTTTTAAGAATGGTAAATATATTTTTCCCCTCTGCAGGATGTGAACAGTGTCAGGAATAAAGGGGTATCCAAAATTAATAGGGATTGGTATTCAGTATTAGTAGGGATCTGTCCTTCCACTGTGGAGCTTAGGGTGGTATACATCCTCCATTTTATTCTTACAACAACCATGTTCAGAGAGTTAGACTGAGAAAGTGTGACTACAAAGATGAATATGGATTTGAACCCATCTCTCCTCAGGCCTCATCCAGTATCACTACTCCAGCATAACTGACCACATGCGAACATCTGAAAATACTAAACTTTTGTGATAGGATCTCAGTCAGTGTTCTACTGCATAAATTATGCCAGAGGCCCCCACCATCTCTAAGCCTGCTTTTGAGAACTTGTGTTACTTCAGTCAAAAGATCAGTGTGGCCCAGATTTTGAGGACTGTGCTTTCAGTCCTGCCAAACACATGAAACACAGGGACAAGTTTACATGCCTTATGACTATATTTTTGTCATCTAATAATTAAGCAAGCACAGCATGAAATTAAATGGCCGCTTGGTTCAGTGAGCAAGCAGTTCTTACCGAACCAGAATTCTTTTATCTGTTTCCTTAATTAGTTTCAGGAGAGTGGAGAAGCCTTTATCACTTGGTTTTTCTGTAAAACTAAGCTAGTTTCCACCAAGTAGCCGTGTACAAAGTAATGTTTATCTCATTCAGATATACAAAATAGTACCCCTCCCCTCCAAAATAAGCCCCCATTTTCTCTGCCACCTTAGACAAGATCTTGTCCGTCAAGGCAGGCCATCACAGTTTCATTTTTTAATGACAAAGTGCAAAGAGTTGATTTTAATCTCAGTCTCAAAAATCCCTCATGACAAAACTCTGCCTTTGCCAAAGTTTGTGGCTTACCTTAAATCCATTCATAGTCGATCAAAGCTAGTGTAATAGATTTCTACTGCCTGGTACTGCTGCTTCTGCTCTTCTGACATGCTTCATACTTTTGCCAGAAAAGAGATTATGAAGCCTAGGGAATTGTTTTGTCTAGCTGTCTAGGCCCACCAAAAACAGGACGTGGAAATTCATCATCTTTGCTGAAAAAGGTAATGCTGATTTTATAATCAGTCACTGCAGGCTGAAAGCTAAAAATGCTCTATTTTAAATTTTAAAATTTGTTTCATGATCTCCTTCCACACTGCAGATGAAACTGGTCTGCATATCTTATGGCTCAGCTCAGGTAACTGCCTAAAATTGTCTATGAGACAGTAGTTACACGTCTTCCGTCCACTAGCCCTACTTGTGCTGTTGCTTATTTTGTCTTGTAGAGAAATTTTGAGTTTAAGGTAGCATCTGTTAGAGCTTCCAGACAATACAGTCTAAAAGCATTGTGCTAGTTCAAACCTCTTCATTGGCTGCTACTATAAAAGGGATAGAGAGCTCTTTGGAAATGTGAATAACTCTTTGGAAATGTGAATAACTCATCATACAGAGAGGCTCTGTTCTGTTCATGGGTCTGTGGGATGGGGTTCAGTGGTTGCCATATTTGAAAAACCCTCTATGGAACTTTTTGATTTGGTATGTTAGACATTGATATCAAGAGTTATTGTCTTTGGGGCAGCACAAAAACAGTATTTGAATCCAAAATACAACCCAGCTGAAGAATGCTACTATTTTGATAACAGTTATTAGAAGAATTGTCCAAGCTATGTGAAGATGCCTTAGTGCCCCAAGCAAGATCAAACCACCATTGTGTTGCCTTTTAAATTAAATTCCTAGAGAATTAAGGAATTAAGGATAGCAGAATTAAGGATAGCAGAATGTGCATTTTCCATAAATAAGTCCATAAAATGTTCCATTTAACCAAACAGAGTAAACGGAAACAAACCATACATGTATGTATACATTTACCATGAGTCCCTGTGAGTTGCAAAGCAGAGGACTAAATCTGATCTTCAACTTCTGATAAAATTGTTCAGTTCCCTGTGCAAGCTCCCATTCACAGGAACAACCTATGATTATTTCTTAGTGAAGAAAAGATAAGCCTTATTTGTTAAGACTTCCATGGTTTTGGTCATGTTTGTTTTTATAATTATTTCTCTTTTATTTTTTTCCTTAGGGAAATAATATTGACTCAGAAGCTGTTAAAGGCAAACTACTAAAGGTTGGAAACAAGAGTTGTGAAAATATCACCTTGAAGTCGCAGTCTGTTTCTTGCACTGTTCCTATAGAACTGTTGAAATCCAATAGTCAACTCAATATAGAGGTAGGATATACCTCAGCGTATTCTAGAGGATATCATGTCTTTGTCATACATTAAAGAACACTGAGAAAAGTCATCTCTATTTATATTATTCTTTCCTATATAATAATGGGTACTATTTGCCAGCATTGCCTCCCACCTTAGTTCAGTAGCATTTAATTCAGCAGTTACTAATACAACAAGTGAGTTGTTATCAGTTTCCACACCTGAAACTTGTATCCATATAGGTAATCATTATATTTCTCAATAATGGCTCATTTCAGTGCCAAAATTTTATGTATAGGATAGTGAGATGTACAGAACAGTACAGCCTTGACTAGGAAATACAAATCTTTTCCCCCCTTCAAATTCTAAATTCAGAGCTATACCCAGTCTCCTGAGGTAGCATTAGTATGCATCCCCTTTCCTGTAGTAGTCAAAAATGGACCCCAAAATAGTGTTCTTGAAGGTCGGGGGACTCCCCAGGCACAGCATTAAAGTGGAGCAAGGGAATTGGCAAAAATATCCCCCATCCTTTACCTGGGGTCTAAATCACAGTCTGTACTCTTGGACATGTAGCCCTAAGAAATCTGTGTAGCTGAAAGCCTGGGCTGCTCCTTTCTCAAGTCCCACATGTGTTCACTGCTATCTTCTGTGTTGACTTTAGCCACTGGAAAACTAACAGCAGGTTCTCTTTATTAGAGTATGTTGCTGCAAAATACCTACGTCAAAAGTATGTTCTTTCATTTCTGCTCTGTCTTAGAAATGTCAGCTTTGGGGAAAATTGTAATCCCACAGAGTTTTTAGGTGATACTCTTTTTAGAAGTCACTAAAAATGCTGTCTTGCTTTGTAATATGAATATTTGCTCAGTCAGTCTTGCTGCCTTCTCAAATGTTTCTGTCTGTGCACTTAGTCAGTGACTTGAGTGCAGGCTATCGCAGTACATTTCTTAGCTGTCTACCCTCTGCAGTTATCCTTAATCATTTGATTTGATTGCTGCTTCCTGATTGCTCTTATTAACTGGGATGGATTGGGAGACTTATACAGTTATTCCTTGCACTAATGCATTGAAAAGGGTTCCTTTAAGCACTTCAGTCACAGTCTAATCCATTTGTTCAGAAAGTATTGCTTTTCTCACAGCTTTTTGAAGAAATTTTTCCAACCTCTACACATACACTGAAAAATTCTATCCAGTATTTTGCCTGATACTAAGAAATCAGCAATAAATGTCTTCAGCCTCCTCTATAATACCAAATGAGTTCTACAAACCATTCAGGCACTCTTGAACACAAACTGCAGGGACACAGAGTATGCTGTACTTCCAATGTGCAGACCTCAAAAGACTTTCCACAGATTTCTCTGTCTTGGATACCTGCTACTCATTCAGTATTTCTGTGATATGCTCAAACCAAGTACCAAAACATTCATCACCCAGTCATATCAGTACATTTCCACTGAAAATATATATTTGCAATATGAATTTTACTGTAAATGGGGTAGAGCTACCAAGTCCCTGGTGGGGGCAGGAGGTGCCCTGCCCCAGGTCCTGTTGTCCGCTATAGAGTTTCTTGCAGTTCCTAGAGCTACCCTTTGTCATTTCCTGTATGTACTTTTGGTAAGTGCATAAGGCTGCATTAAAAAAAAAAACCCTCCTCAATGCTGTGCCTCAAGTGGCAACCCTTGAGTGGAAGTACAGAACTTTATCAAGAGCCACTGCTCACATTTCAGGCAAAGATTAATTGGTGGAAACTACCAACAAACCAATCTATTTGTAAAATATATATGTATATGCTTACATTATTTATAAACATAAGAAAAATTGTTGCATTATATACTTCTAAATTAACATCTTCCTCCCTACCACTCTCCTCACAAAAAAAAGGTACTATAATATAAGCAAAAGTACCACAGGAGAGATTCCTCACTACTATGGTAATCAATGCTTGGTTTATATCGTAAGTCTTGGAATAGATAAAAAGAATGGAATGTGAAGGAGGAAGAAAATTTTCTCCAGTTACTTTAATACACAACAATACAAAACCCTGCAAATAGAACAATGTGTTCTTCTCAGGTCTCCTTGTAGAAAGGCAACAATGTTATCAAGAAAAGAATTCACTAACTCTGAGAAAGGCTTTTCTTTTAAGCCAGAAGAAGCTTCACCGCCTATCCTCAGCTGCTGCTGTTGTTTTTTTGACTGTCAGACTTGTCATCACATACCTGAACATTCCTAACTCACAGCCACTCCCAAATAAGAAAATTCAAAGCTTGTGGTACCCTACATGTGCACGATGTATCTTGAAATAACACATATATAGCACTAGGGCTTCACATATTCTGTTTTTGTGTATTCATACGTTTCATCCCTGTCACAGTTAATACATTTTACTGGGCATGGTTCTTTAAAAGAGGAGTTGACTCAAATGGAGATGAGCACCGCCTCCTAGAGTCAGATTCAACTGGCTTTCAACCAAGGGAAACCTTTACCTTTACTTTACTGTACTGTGTCACTTATTACCAGCCTACTGAAAGTATGAGCTTAGTATTTGAACTGGGGCTTTGGATCCCTTAAAGGTAAAGGTTTTTCCCTTGCTTGAAAGCTAGTCAAATCCAACTCTAGGGGGCGGTGCTCATCTCCGTTTACAAGCCAAAGAACCAGCGCTGTCTGAAGACATTTCCATGGTCATGTGGCTGGCATGACTAGACGCCGAGGTGCACAGAACACTGTTACCTTCCCACTGAAGTGGTGCATATTTATCTACTTGCAATTTCTTGCTTTCGAACTGCTAGGTTGACAGGAGCTGGGGCCCGAGATGGGAGCTCACTCTGTCACGCAGCACTAGGGTCTTGAACTGCCGAGCTACCAACCTTCCAGTCTGCAGCTCAGTGTCTTAACCCCTGAGCCACTGCAGCCCCTTAGGAGCTTGTATTTACCAAAAAAGAGTAAAATTGACTGTCTCCGTTCAGAGGTTTTGCCCTTTCAGTAATCCCTAATATATGTATATTCTTATATCTGTTCAGTTTTCCAGAAAATGTGGATGGTGTGTGAGGCAAAACAGAACTCATTATCTATTTAACCCATCTTAGGTGTGTTTTGTGTGTGTTTTTTTTTAAGAAGACTGTTCTTTTAATTATAACTGCAGGATTAATGGAGTTGATAGAATCAGAGTTTTGTGTATTTTCAGGTAGTATAATAATAGATTGAGTGTAGCTTGTTGGTGTAGTGGCCATCTGTTATAATTTGATCCTTATTTTTATTTATTTTTTTGGATTGCGCTCACCAACACCTTTCCTGGCACCTGCAAAGTGTTTTTTTTAAGTGGGCAAGGCCAGATGGGGCTGTTTCCCAGCAAGGCTTCTGATCGGCCATTGGATACCTCATTGGCTGTGCAGATTTTTTTTAAAAAAATGTTGGTTTGGCAGCCTTTGCCAACATATCACAAGGATCTTCACTGCTTGGCTGAAGGTGAATGCAAGAAAATACTTTTTAAAAATATGTGCATTTTAAAAGGCATCCTGTTAAACAGAGCTTCTGCCTGAAATGTTGAAGAGTGACTATTAGAGGTAGCATATTAGAGGTTGGAAAATCCTTGGAGGCAGTGGAACCTGGAGAGGGCAGGGTTTGGAGAGGGTATAATACCATAGAATCCACCTCCAAAGCAGCCACTTTCTCCAGGGGAACTGATCTCAGGAGATCCCCAGACCCCACCTGGGGGTTGGCAACCATAGCGTATGCGTGACCTCATTCCCTGAGATTTTGTGGTTGGCTCTGCCTCTTGTGGCACCATTTTGTGGTTGCGCCCACCACCTTTTGTCATAATTCCAAAAGGCTGCAGGTTCCAAAAGGCTGGGGATCCCTGTTCTAGACTAACTTTGTGACATAAAAGTACTACTAATATACAGGTTTTTCCTTGCATAGATAGATGTTCCAACCATCTCCCACTCTTCAGAGCTTCATTCATACTCAGTAGAAGACCTCATGGTGCACATTGGGCACTAGAGATTGATATCTGACTTCTCAGAGAGTGCAGTATTTTCAATAACATTAAAAAGTTAACATTGAAGCAGGCATAATTGTGATAGGCTCAGGAAATTATTTAAAACATCTTTTACAGATGTAACATTAATATCTAAAGTGCCACTTCTGGTTTAATTATTACAGACAAAAAAGAACTCAACAGGATTGAGGGAGCCTCAAAGTATCAAACTGCATTAGCACTTACTAAACCAGAGAGAAATCCTAAACAGGTGTAACTCAGAGTCTTACTCAAACAGTTTTACCCAGGAAAGTGTTCTTAGGGCTCCACTCGAGTATCTTCTTCGTGGTCTCTGTGCATCACACCTCTGGGATATAGTGTGCCTGTGCCAACCCCGATCAGTATAATGGAAAGCAAAAAGGATTTCCGTGCCCACTCCCCGGTCACATGCCAGGCTCCACTGCGCATGACCAAGGGAGGGGCACGACGATCCCACCAGTTCTCTTCTGACCGCCGCACTGGTAGGACTCTCTCCACTTGGGTCGGTAAAACTATTTCTTTTTGGCCTCTAGGCCTCGTTTTATTCAAGTTTAGTTAGTTAGGAAAGTTTTTCAGTTAGTGTTCTTTGGACTTTGTTTCTCTACTCCCCTCCCTCCGGCCTATGGCCGCTCGGTGGGGTTTCTTTAAATGGTGCTGGAAGTGAGGCAGTAAGATTGTCCCCCCAGATGGACATTCCCTTTGCCTTTTATGCCTGGGGAAAACACACCAAGTAGACTCCTGCGCCCACTGTTCCAAGTTTTCCGGACCAGGAAGAATCGGGCAGCTAGACTTCAGGTGGCACTAATGGAAGTCGCGTTCTCACAGGAGACGTCTGGGCACACCTCGATGTCGACGCCATCATCGGAATCGACAGTCATCCTGTCTTCAACATCAGCCTCCTCGATGCCGTAAAATCGGTACTGAAGCGCCCGATTCAGCACAACAGTCCGAAGCCCATATTCCTAAAAAATGTAAGGAGGGCAAGGACGTTCGGCTTATCAAGCTTAAGAAGCACAATAAAGGCTCTCTTGCAGTCGCTTCGCTTGATTCAAAAAGCCGAGGGCAGCCACAAGGTGCACTTTGGTCACCTTCGCTTCGCCCCATCCAGTCCCCTGACTCCGACCAGGAGCTGGACTTGACCCAGGTTCCTCGATCCCCCGATGTCAAGAACCTGCACCAAGATTGAAGGACACACATTGTCGCCCCTTCGCCTCCGTTCATCCCTGATGATCGGGATCGATCCCCGACGCCTCTTCAGCCCCTGACCTGGAATCAGCACCAGTAGCAATACCTGTATGGGGCTTATCCTTTTTTGGGATTGATGCCATGGCTTCCTCCACGTCCTCCCAATGCAGGAGAAGCCACGCTGTCTCTTAGTGACTCCGTGGTGGCCCCGGCAACATTGGTTCTCTACTCTGCTCCACCTATCCAAGGGCTCCTTCGTTCATTTCCCCCCAGCTGCAGATCTCCTCCTCGCGGGGAAAGGGCAGATACTGCATCACAATGTGCAGCGTCTCAAGCTCATGAGGATCTTGAGGATCCTTTTCAATTGTTCAGAGACAGAATAGTTCATGTCCTATTGAAGTGTCGCAAACCGTCTACCCAAATTTCTTACGCTGGAAAGTGGAAGAAATTCTTGTCTCACCTTGACTCGTTGGGATTGCCACCACCCCCATCTGACCTGATGGCAATCTTTGGGTTTTTATTATCTCGTCTGGATCTAGGCCTCAGCTGTGCCTCGTTGAAGGTCTATTTAGCCGCAATTTCGGCTAATCACCCGCTGATTGAAGGTCATTCTGTTTTCTCCCACCCTCAGACCAAGAAGTTTCTTAAGGGCCTGACCCACCTCTTCCCTTTGTCGCGTGGTCCCACGCCAGTGTGGGACCTACCCATGGTGCTTATGAGACTTATGGACAGACCTTTTGAGCCAATGGCTACTTGTAGTCTGTAGCTTCTGTCGTGGAAGACAGCCTTTTTAGTTAAAGTTACCTCCACTAGGAGGATGGGCGAGTTATCGGCACTCCGCTGTGACCCCCCTTATTTGAGTTTCCATCATAATGGGGTTATGCTGGCTCCAGATGTTTCTTTCTTACTGAAAGTAGTTTCTGAGTTTCATCTACAAGCAGACATTGTTCTCCCAGTGTTCTTTCCGTCCCCTTCGACGGAGGAAGAGCACCGATTTCACTCGTTGGACGTCAAAAGAGCTTTACTCTTTTACCTAAATCAAACACTGCCTTTTAGGAAATCACTGGCCTTGTTTGTATCTTATGCTCTACCCTCTCAAGGGAAGAAGCTGTCATCCCAATGCCTGTCCAAGTGGATTGTGGAGACTATTAAGTTATGCTACGTGCTAGCTAAGCAGTTGCTCCCGGGTCTGCTACGGGCACATTCCACCCGGGCAGTGGTGGCATCCACAGCCTTCCTGCGAGGTGCGTCACTAGACGATATCTGCAACGCAGTTACTTGGGCCACACCTCACACGTTTGTGAAGCATTATGCCCTTGGCGTACGTCTTCATCAGCATTCCATGGTTGGACGAGCGGTGTTGCAGGTGGCGCAGATTTAGGACCTCAGCTCCCTCCTCCAGGTACGTGTGTACTGCTTGTTAGTCTCCCAGAGGTGTGATGCACAGAGACCATGAAGAAGATAAACAGGTTGCTTACCTGTAACTGAGGATCTTCGAGTGGTCATCTGTGCATTCACACCACCCGCCCTCCTTCCCCTCTGCTTTCGGTCCTTCCTTTCTTTCTTTCTTTGGAGACTGAGGGCAGCGGTCAGAAGGAATTGGCGGGATCATCGTGCCCCTCCCTTAGTCATGTGCAGTGGAGCCCGGCACAAAAATCCCTTTTGCTTTCCATTATACCAATCAGGGTTGGCACAGGTGCACTATATCCCAGTGGTGTGAATGCACAGATGACCACTTGAAGATCCTCAGTTACAGGTAAGCAACCTGTTTTTTCTAGTTGTATGTCAATCACAGGTTCCTACAAAATATCTTGTCACTTTCAATCTCTTTCCAGTCTCAGCAAAAGCATGTTGCTCTTAAACTGTAGAAACTAAACTACATGTCCATCTTCAATGGATGAGATTGGCTGATCTGGGGCATTGTCAAAAGTTTCAGGGCTTAGGATCAAGGCTAGAGGCCAAAACTGTATTTGGAGTAGTCAGGAGGCATTTTTTAAAAAGTATATGATGAGGCACCAAATGTTGTGCAAGTGGGGGGGGGATTCTGCCAGTGGAAACAAGGCAAAATGGGACAGAAGATGGCAAGGGGAAGGAGCTGTGTATGTGAATTGTGTGCATGTACAATTAATAGGATCTTTCAGTGAAAGTGATTTTTTTAATGGAGATCCTGAGTTTTCTGTTTTAATTTCTTTCAGTGGAAGAGAGAAGTTTCATCAGCACTTATTGGGAAAGTCATGGTTCTGCCAGATCAGAATTTCAAAGGACTCATTGCTGGAGTTGTGTCAATATCCATTTTTCTTTTCTTGTTGTTTTTTGGGCTTTTCCTATGGAGAAAAAAGAGAAAACAAATCAAAGGTAGGTTATTGTTATTGCTACACTTTCTCTTTTTTTATGCCCCTCATAGGGGATTTTTTAATTGCATTTTCTATAAACTACAAAGAAATTTGGGAGGGGGTCTACAAACTATAGGAAAAAGTAAAGAAAACCCACTAAAAACCCAAGAGATGGTGGTCATATATACTGCTTTAAAAGTTAGCTTTAAACTCAGTGTTCAATTCAAGTTTATTGAATGTGGTCATCTAATAATCTATTTAAACTGAAGTAAAAATTTAAACACCATCGTATCTGACTTCTTAAAGAGCAAAATAAGTTAATACTTATAACAAAACATTGTAAGAGATCTCAAAGTGCAGTAACATCTCATCTTTTATACTTTTTCTTTCTCAATTGGTAGCTTGTCTTTGGTGCTGCCACCCCCAGTTTAGAGTCTGAGTTCTCGTCTGAAGATGCCACTTCTCCTTCTTCTTCACTTTCTTTGGTGCTGTCTTCTTCCTCTTCTTCTTCTCCTGCTGGACGACTATGTTAATACAGAAATTCACGTGCCTTTTCAACAGAGTCAATTTTTTCTTTCTTGTCCATAAATGTGAAGGTTGTGATTTTGGGTACAATCCATCTGTAGGGAATGTTGTTCTTCTGTAGGAATAAAACCAAGTCTCTATATTTTCTTCTTTTCCTTCTTATTTCAAATGGAATGTCCTTCAACACTTTTATTTCTTTGTCCTTGATATTCAGGGGAGTTCCATTTGTCGCTTTGAGAATTTGATCTCTTACTTGTCTTCTGGAGAATCTTACCATAACTTCCATTGGCAGATTATTCTTTCTTGTAAAATCTGAATACGACCTATAGATCGTATCAATTTCGCTTTGTAATATATCCGTTTTATATCTGCCATGGGGCCTAAAGTCTGTTTCAGATATTTTTATATCTGCCATGGGGCACATAGTCTGTTTCAGATTCTCTTCCTTCTCTTCCAGAACACCTTGAAATCTTAGAACATAGCTTGCTCTTTCCATTTGCAGCTGTAACAAATGAGACTCCTCCATTATTCCCTTTTTCTCCATCACCTGTAGTTGTTTTTTGAGCTTCTTGGTGTTGGCATCCACTTCTTTCAGCTCTTGCTCAGTTTTTTCTGTTTTTTTACTATCTCAGTTAATTGAGTCTGCTGTGCATCAAACTTATGGTGCAATGCCATAACTCGTTCCAGCAGAGGGCGCAGTGCTTCATTCAGCATCTTTTGCAGCTCTGTAGTTGTGTCGCTGGGCTGGGCTGGCAGTTCCGGCAAGCAGCTTAGGTTTCACTTGTTTGTCTTTCTCATCCTTCCTCATGGGCGCCATGTTTGGGAATTGTTTACTTTTTATAAAAGTTATCGCAGTCTCTGATACTCTTAAATCCACCTGGTAAGTTCTTAAATGCTCTTTATTTCAGTCCGTCTTGCTTCATTAGCCCACCCCCCTTTTCGTAGTAGCTCAAAGTTCACTTAGTTTTTCTTAGCGGGGGAGAGTTCCCTCCCCCCCTCACTTTCAACTCACATTTCAACAATTAAGTCCACTTTTGTTTTCAATTCGCTCGGCCACCAAACGCTTGCTCCGGTGTGCGATTTCTAGTTCCCATTCGGGACACTCCACAGCGGGACCTTCGGGGCATGGAGTAGCCCCCCGTCGCTGGGGGAAGGGCTTTCTAGTGCCATGGCGAACGCCAAAACCCGGAAGCACTTTATTGCTACACTTTCAATCTGTATCTCATTTTACTGGATAAGCAAAAAGACCCCAGGAACTTACAAAGGGGGAGGAAGGACAGACGAGGCAAGGTGAGCCAGGGAAGAATTTGCACAAATCCAATGGCATGTGCATCGAGTTCATTGTAGTTGGAGATAAAGAATTGGGCAGTTTGGCAAAGACTTCTTACAGAAAGTGGGAAGAGAGGGAGGTAACACCATATAGGAATGTTGGGAGTGCATTCCAGCCTTAAGTAAAAAGGTTTGTTGAGTACAAATGACGAATTGGGGCTTCTTCTTCATGGAAATGGACTGCTTAAGCCAGGGGTCCTCAAACTACGGCCCGGGGGCCACATGCGGCCCGCCGAAAACATTTATCCAGCCCGCCAGGTGTTTTTGCCACTGTCCTGTCCATATGCTACCCAGCACAAGGGGCCCCGGCGAGCGGTAGGGGCGCCATTCCCCTCGGCGCAGCGCCGCTTCCACTTTCCAGGGCTGCAAAAGTTTGCTTTTTTCTCCAACCGCTGGGGACCTGCCAGAGGGCCAGGAGCGCCGACAGCCAGGCCAGCACGCCCGCTCTCCCTTCCCAGGGTTTGTGCGAAGTTTTCCAGTGCCAGGCGAAGGTTCTGCCCCTTTCCCCTGAAACTGTCCACGGGCTAAGGAAGAGAGACGCGAGGCTCTGCCGGTGGCAACTCCAGGCTGCGCCGCTGGCTTCTTCTGCTGCCGTCTGCCGCACAGCCATGCTTTTGGGGCAAAAGCCCTGGTCAGCAACTAGGAGGCCACTGTGGGAAGGGAGCGCCAGCCGCAGAGGGCCAGCGTCTCACCCTCTCTCCGCTGCCCCCCACGCCATGAGACCTGCCAGCAAGACTCGTCGCCCGCAGATTCTTCTTCTTCCCTCTTTCCACTTCTAGCTTAGCTGCGGGGCTTGGCCTTAGTCCGGGGGGGCGGGATGGTCGGCTAGTTCTGCCCCCCGGCCCCCGGCCCCACCCCCGGCCCTCCAATGGTCTGAGGGACAGTGAACTGGCCCCCTGTTTTAAAAGTTTGAGGACCCCTGGCTTAAGCCAATGGATAGACATGCTGAATAGACTCGGTTTGGTTCCGGTTGTGGAGGCCTTCCTGCCTAGTAGTTGTGCGGTTAAATACATAGTGTTGTTGTCAGAACTGCTTGACTCCCTACAACTGACCAGGATGGTTATTCTGTAGCTCAGCTATCTCTTCTCAGCCCAGCGAGTTTAACTTCTTACCTGCTAGTAAAGCTGCCTTCCCATCTATATATATAAAAGAAAGTCCCCTCACCATAAAATCAACGCCCAGGCCAAACCGCTGGACCTAGAGACACCAAATTCTGGGAGAGCACTCCCACCATGGTGTAGGTGCTCGCTAAGAAGGGATTTTTAAAAATTCGGCCCCTAAGTGGGTTGAAAGCGGGGAAATGTGCTCCCCCCATTGATTCCTATGCGGCTGCCAGGCAGCTCTCTCCCTGCACCCCCCACTGTCTGACTGGTCAGCTGCAGATCTCAGAGTTCTGAGGTAAAAAAAAAAACAGTTACAGGGGACTGCAGACAGCTAATGACAGTTGAGGAAATCGAGAGTGGACAACAAGCACCTGTGAGGTTCAGTAATGCTGCTGGCCCAGCCTCTCCAATGGCTTCCAACACACTCCCCCCACCTCCTACACCTAACAGGCGGTTGTCTATCAGGTGCAGCCCCACCTCCACAGTGGTTTCTAATACTCCTCCCCCCTCCCCCTCCTACACTGGACAGGCAGCTGCCTCTCAGGTGTAGGAGGGGAGGTGGGGTGGCTTCCAACACATTCCCCCACCTCCTATACCTAACAGGCGGTTGTCTGTCGGGTGCAGCCCCACCTCCACAGTGGCTTCTAATACTCCTCCCCCTCCTACACTGGACAGGCAGTTGTCTGTCGGGTGCAGCCCCACCTCCACAGTGGCTTGTAATACTCCTCCCCCCTCCCCGTCCTACACTGGACAGGCAGCTGCCTGTGAGGTGTAGGAGAGGAGGTGGAATGCTTGCAGCCACCGGGGAGGTTTGCTCAGCAGGATTGCCTTAGCACTGCCGCTGGCCCAGCCTCCCCAATGCCTTTAAATACAGTCCCCCCCAACACCAGACAGGCCAGTGTCTGTCAGGTGTAGGAGCAGGGCCAGGGTATGAATGTTTATGGGGAGATAGTAAAGGACATTTCTATGAGCCATTTCGATGCATGCCTCCCTCATGAACCTGAAGAAATGTCCACCACATATCTACTCCCTCACACCAGCTCCCCCTCACAGTTCTCACCTCTTACTGCCCCCAAGAAAGCTCCTGGCAAATGTCAGCCAGATACACCAACGCTACAAGGGGGAGGCAACTTAGGAATGCGGCAAAGACATTTGCACATAGTACTCCTGCAGTGCACTGAGCTGCGCAGGCCAAGTGCCAGCAAGATCACTCAGAGGTGCTCAGAACAACACAGTCTCTATATGAGCAAAACAGTCCAGGAACACAAGTAGAGTGGCCATCACTTTCGTGGAAGGTAGCAGGAGTTGACTTAACAGACGACTGCTTCTTAAATGGACAGTTCTATGTTTCCTGCTCCAGAGTGAGCTCACCAAGCAGCTTGGTGATCCTGGCACCTGAGGGCAGAGCCACCAATGTGGTCTAGAGAGAGGTCCTTCAATAGAGGGGGGGGGGGCAGTACATATGTCTCACTTCATTTCTTACACTATAATCTTCTCCATTAGAATTCCTACAACAAATGTCACATTTCAAATTTCACATCATCAGTATTATAACTGGATTTACGAAACTTAAATACCATAGCGAAGCACGGGTATCAGGCTAGTTTATAATGTAGGAATGGAATATTATGTTACTACCGTAGCTCTGGATCCAGGCTAACATGCCTCTGAATTGGAAATCAGCGTTATTAAAAGTTGTACCTTGGTATAATAGATTGGTGAAAGCTCCTAGCAACAAACCCACTTTTAATTATGCTGCTGTTCTGTTATATGGGGGAAGAAAAATATTTTGCTGTGTCTTTTCTACAGAACATTAGCAGCCTGCCTCAGAGTAGCACTACCCCTGGTAATTATGATTTTTAAAGCTACTCAAGCTTGCACAGATTCATTATAAGAATGTTGCTGCTGTCCTGAAGCTTGGGACAAGTCTTTTAAGTGCTCTTGAATTCAGTAATTGACACATTTTTTTTCCATGTGAAGACTTAGGCAGAGAGATTGTACGCTACGATGGAAGAGTGCACACTCCTCACTTGGACAGGCTTGTCAGTGCAAGGAGTGTGAGTCCCACGACAGAAATGGTGTCGAGTGAATCTGTGGATTATAGATCCACATTTCTAGAAGGTATTGTTTTTCTGATCTGTTATCTCACCTGTCATCATATGTCTGCATGCTCTGATATTGCAGCCTATTCAATAGATTTTGTACCTTTTGATGAGTCTTAGAAATTTAATCTTTTTGTATAGATGTTGCACTTTTGATTCATTTACAGTGTGCCTCAGACTCAATGCTCCCTCTAAGCTGTGGAGTCTTGTGAGCAAAAATTCTACTTTGTGAGCTACTGGAATTAGAGTTGCGAGTGACCGATTTGGCTGCTGCATAAATCAGTTTGCTCGGGAGCCATCCTTCCTGAGCAAAGGCAAAAATGTGCGAGCTGGAGGCTAAAAAACTGTGAGCTAGCTCACACTAACTCAGCTTAGAGGGAACACTGCTCAGACTGCCACTTTGTGAACCCACTGTAAAAAATAGGATGACCACTCCTTAGCTGCAATCAGACGAGGCCTTTGATCCATTGTCATTGCTTCTCCCCAACGGATTTTAAGTGCTTGTCCAGACAGCAACATGTGTCCTGTCCCAAAGTCATCAGCCCCCCCCCCCCCCCGCTCACTTCAGACTTTCCCGACACCACAGAAAGTCCAGTATTTATGTATCCTACCAGTTTCACAGCACTTCTGTGGATGTGTGATTGCTTTCACGTGGTGAAGCCTTTTGGGAAGACAGATTGCTGACTTCCTCTTTCGCTGCCTTTTTTTTGTGTTACTGACGTGTGCATAAGCAGATACATGCTTCAAGCAGTACTTGTGAGTTTTGTCATCCCCTCCCCCGCCTGCTCCAGCTAAACCGGAGAGAGCTCCCTGCTCAGGATCAGGCTTATCTCTTCACTCAGTTTAAAAAACACTTTCCTCACACTGAACTACAGATCCCAGCAGCCTCCTCCAGCATTCCAATTGGTCACCAACTGCAGCCATCCTGCCAGGAGTTTGAAGTGCTGCTTCCCATAAGTGCCTATGCCCATGTCCAGAAGACAAATGATTAAGGAAAACTGCCCCCCACCCCCCTCCGTGGCTGCCACATCTAATCGATCAACCACAGGTGCATGTGTGGTAAGGCAGGTAAAGGGAGGGAATGTCTGATCAAACCTCTCCATTTCAAAGAAACCTGGTTAAATTAGAAGTGGCTCCAGAGCGCACAGTAAGCTTGACGTCGGAATGCAGCCCTTGTCTTCCACATTTATGATTGACACTACTCTTCTTCAGCCTCTGTAGCAAGGTCCTGGTGATTCTGATGATGGGGATGGACCATGGCTCAGTAGGAAGAGTGTGCTTCTTATACAGAAGATCCTAGGATTCATCTCCAATTAAAAGTTTTTCAGATTGCAGGTCTTTGATTAGATGCTTGGAAACCATATTTTCCCCCACACTCTGTCATGTAGGACGTGGCGGTCAAAATAATTTGACAGTTCTAGCACAGCAAAAAAAAAAGAAAGGTCTCTGGCCTAAGTTGAGACTCTCCTGGAGATTTAACAAACTGTGCTCCTCCCATGATTTCCTGTAACTGTGCACTGCTGCAGCCTTAACAGGTGTTGGCATCTTTCCTAGAGTTAAGTCACTAGTTTACACCCTGTTTAAATAAGAGTAATAAAATTTGATACGGAGACAAAATAGTTGAACTTTTGGTTATTGATCAATGAGGGTTGCCCCACACAGTATTTCTACTCACTTATGTACTGTGAATAACAACAACAAGTAGCCCTCTTCCACAGACAGCTGTGAGCAAAGTTGCCACATCTGTAGCAGTGTAGAGAAAGTTGCAAAAATCATTGCAACAGATCTTTAATAAGCGCAAAGAGAGAGAACATTTTCTGTGGTGCCATGGTGTCTAAGCAAGAGCTATAACATTTAATCAATCAATTTAGGGTTTTTTAAAAGTTTCTTCATTAGAATATAGTTCAGGAAATCATCTAACAAGGTGTGCAGCAGAGCAGCATCTGATGGACTCAACATGTAGATGTCCAAAGAGTGGTGAGAGAGTACAAACTGAATACAGTGTTTAAAATGAATTGTTGTAAGGAATTATTTAACCTGGAAAGCTGCTACCTTTCAAATCCTTTAACTATAACTGGTATTGAAGTAAGGAAGGCGGTGTTTAAAAAATCTTAATTGGAGTCAGTTCATGGTTAAAAGGAAAACAGTTGAGTAAAACCTTTAACAGGTCGGAAAGGCTAAAGCACAATTAAACCTGTGAGCCACCATTTATATATTTTGTTAACGTCCAGTTTCCTGGGTATGAGCACAACTCACCATGGTAGTGCTGGAACTCAGATTCTTGCCTTCCTGTATCATAGCAAGTGTTGCTCAATGAGGTGACCCGATAAATACCAGCCCAGATTCCAGACAGAAGCCCTGGGAATTTTTAGCATGGCTTAGAATGTTTCTAAATATCACATTAGTGCTCCAGTGGATCACTTGAGCACTGAAGATATAGGTCAGTTCACAGAATAAATAAGGGCTCATCCAGTTATGCCAGCCACCCACAGTCTGATGTAATCTTCTGGCAGTCCCAGAGTGAGACAGTTATATAGCCATGTCCGAATAACTTTTTTAAAAATCTTCTAAATGCTCCATAATTTGTTCAATACAGGAGGCAGCCATGGGGAATTTGGCACTCATTTTGTCATGTTTGTATCACACTTCATACAAATTGGTAAACCCAGGAGAATGAAGCAATCACCTCATGGGATATTGTCCTTCTGTGAATGGGCATGTACTTAGATTGCTTGATGTTTTACAAGCCATGGTTCTGTGTTTTCACTCCAAAATCACTGGGTTGCATCCAAAGCCTTGTTTCTACTTGCACAGCACCCTTTATCATTGCAGAGGCACTCCTGTGCTGCAGAGTTTGTTCCTCTGCTGCTAGGCACCCCTGCGCACACAAGACCACTGTGTTTCAATGACATTAGTGCCAGAGGAACAAGCTCTGCAGCAGAGGACTGCTTCCAAAGGACAAAGGGGGTGCAAGTAGAAAAAACATCTAGGGTCTTCTAGCTATTATGATTCAAAAATAATACAGATATTTTGTTAATGTGTATAGCAGCAAAGAACAAACTACAAATAGTAATGTTAGAAATGGGTCACCTACAGAAGCTGAAAAGATTCCAAGTTGTTAGGTTACATGAGTTGCAGTTAGTTTGCAGCTTAAAAAAGCCTTGCTTGTCTAGTAGAATTCCCATCTAGAGTATGCCGTTTTTTGCTATCAGAATACGATAGCAAAAAATTAAAAGACACATAAAAATTATGTTTCTTTCTCATCAACTGTTCCCAACCGCAGATGATGGTCCCCATACGCAAGTCACCCTCTTTGCCATTGCTTCCCCTTGCACTCCCCAGCTGCAAACTCCCCCAGCTGCTTACAGCCATTCCACCTCAAATGACCTCCTTTTACATCAAGCTCCAATTTCTCACGCCCTCTTCTCCTCCCTCCCCTCCAAAAATAAAAGTCCAAAGCAGCAACTCAGCCAAGCCTGGTGTGAAAAAATACAACCAAACAAATCCCCTCCTGGACAAATCCTCTCACTCACACAAACACAGCATTAACCACAGGGTCCCACTCTTGCAATGCTGCTTTGCAAACCCCACAACAAGCCCCCTGAAGCAAAGACAGAAAGCAAAACACAGAGAGACTGAGACTGGAGGCAGGCAGAGTTCACCCTGGACAGGTGCCTCTTTCCTCCTGGAAAACCTAATTATACAAAATCAGGGTAGGAACTTGCAGCAATGCTAAAATGGGGGTGGGGCGAGGAGAGAAAGGCACGAAAATAAATACAACTGGCTCCCTCCCCCTGCGCATCAGTGCCCCTTGCCTGTGTTACAGCGGCTGCTGGTCAGGGCCAGGCAGCCAGGAGGAGGCTGAGCAAGGTGAGGAGCAGTGCCAGCAGCAGGCCGAGGCCAGCACCAGCAACAGGAGGTGGGCTGGTGGTGTGCGGGGCTGGCGGGACCTCCTCATGGCTGGGCTGTGGAAGCAAGTGGCCATTCCTGAGCCATTCCTGAGCAGCCACTTTCCCAGGCCTCACACTTTCTTCCCCTCTTTCCCACCTCAGCAATGAGTGGTGATGGCAGAATCCATTGGCTCCTGCTGGCTCAGTCTCTCGCAGGGCCGGCTCCAGGCTTTTTTGTGCCCTAGGCGGGGCTACCTTCTGGCGCCCCCCCTGCTCACCAATTACGGGGGTTGCCAACCTCCAGGCAGAGCCTGGAGAGCATCCCAATGGGTCCCCACCCCCCTCCACCGCCACATATTTCGTGGCGTGCTCTTCAATGGGCCCTGCCTCTCCCGGGAGCCGGCTCGGCGGAGGCGGGTCCCGTTTGGTGGGCTGGAGGGGTCGGGGGCTCGCCACTCCCGCCCCTCCTTCCCTCCCATCCCGCTTACCTTGGCTCAGCGCTTTCCGGACTAGGGGAGAAAGAGGCGGCAGCGACCAGGGAGATGCAGGGCTTTTGGCGGGGGGCAGGTCCAGTTTTGTGCCCCAAGGGCCTGCTCGCTGCTGCTCACCTCCCCCCCCCCGCCCCCCCCCCCCCCCCCCCCCCCCCCCCCCCCC